AAAAAAGCAGGAGTCTAAACAGAATTAAATCCTTATTATTTGAGGAGGGCTAGGTGTTGGGTTATTTATCATGCATCATAGAAGTTTTATTTCCTTAAGTAAGGTTTTTGCTGCTGAAGTAGGTGTAGAGTAGACATTTGGGGTGCATCCTTCATTTGATTGTCTTTTTCTAGAAGTCCACAGTCTTTTGGTGTGGGTATTTTTTTGTTTTGTTTGTATCTTGTAAGGGTTTACTTTAATGCAACCTATTGGTCTTTGCCCTCTGGCTGCTTCTTTGATCCTGCCAGTCTCTGAATTGTTTTATATACTGCTGACAAGCTGGCTAAGAAGGTGAAGGGATGAACATATAAATAATTTGGGGGGAGTGCAGGCTCAAACTATGGCATTCTTTATGCTGCAAAACCCAGATTTTTTTTTTTCTTTTCTTTGAACATTTTATTATATATGTTTTAACTGCCCAGTCACTGGATTTAGGGATCTGTGGTAGAGCTTTGCTAACTCGTTAGATAAGGCTCTGGTAAAGAAGGCAGCGCCACATGGAAAGGCAGAGCAAATTTATGTCGTGATTTACTTTTTCCGTGCCCCTTGTCTCAATGTCATTGTGGGCAAATAGGCATTTTTATATAAGGTGACACCTAGAGACTTAGGAGAATTGTTTGACTTTCTGTGGAAGGCAGGGCGAGTCTTACTGCCTTTCTAAAGTATATAATGGTGACATTGTTCCCATTGTAACCATTGCTTTTCCGTGTCTGTTTTGGAGTGTAAGGTCTTTGGAGGAGGGACTAATGCATATATGTGCACAAAAATATTTGCAGCGCTTGGCGTGCTGTGATACTGATTTAAGAAGGGCATTCCTGAAATAGGAGCTATCATAGTTGTTAAAAAAAACCAAAACAAAGATCACAAAACCCAAACAAACCCCAACACCTTTTCTTCTTAAAATATAATTTATTAGCGTGTTGCGGTTTCGGGCTATCTCAGTATTCAAACTCAAGACAGTGTCTCCTTTCTTTTTATGAGTATTGTTTATATATATATATATATAATTAAATAAATCATGGTTGTGTTTGAACAGGGAAGAACAAAACATACTTCTTAAATAGCTGCAGGTTCTTTTACCTTCAGTAGCCTTATGGATGAGTAAAGCAATGAAAGCATGTAATATTTAACATAAAATCTGTAATTAGATAAGTAAAAGCACTTAAGACATCATTTTTAAAACTGCTGAAAAGTCAAAATATCAGTTAGTCTAATTTTTTACAGCTCTACATCCCTGTTGAAACTCATTTACAGTCTATTATGCTCTGTGTGTGTGTATGCATGCATATGTGCATCTTAATTAGCATGATCTTGTTAATGTAAAATGGATGTTTCTCTTCTAAGCATAGGTGTTTAAAATAGGTAACTAATCAAATTTCTCAGCAGTCTGATAGACCAATGCAGCAGTGGTAAACAGCAAAAAATAGAAAATGCTTAGTAGCATTCTTTACAAAGGTTATTTCAAGTGTGAGTGATACAGAAAATATTTCTTCACAGTTTGCTCAAACAGTGACATCTTACACATGAAAAGGCGAGAATTACCTTGCTGACTTGGTCGCTGTGGTAGGAATGGTGTAGCATGTCATAGAAAGTTGTGTCGGTTTGTGATTTATGGATGTTCTGGAAGATTTTGCAGAATATGCCATGGGTGCTATGTACTTGCTTAATTGAGGTAAAAGAGTAAATATAGACAAATCTGTCATGACTGATGTGTTTAAAGCATGATTTTCTTCAGCTTTTATTGACAATAGCTAAGAAAACTTGGTTGGGGGTTATATCTCTGACTTCAGTTCTGTCTTCTTCTGAACTAATTATGCATCTTCTTTACTGTTCCTCTTAATAGGCATTTTGCATCCCTTCTTCATGATGGTGCATCCACAAATGTTCTTAAAAGGTTCTGTCTTAGAGAAACTTATGCAAAACTAGTAATTATATTACATAAATGTGTATCGTTCGAACTCCAGAAACTGCTCTCACATTTTATCAAAGTTTGTACATAATTCATGTTAAACACTTAAATTACATTAATACTGAGGGATTTAATGGTTTAATTCCAGTGTATACTTTTGAAATTACGTGTTTTGTGACCGACCCTTAGACTTCTCCCTATTTTATGATTTTCTCTTTAATCATGTTAAAAGGCTGGTGTATTCCAACGCCCTAGTTTTGGCAATAGTCCTTACACTAAGGTAAATATTTTCCACATTTGAAGAATAGAGGGGTCAATGCAGAGCAAAATTCTCTTAGTTGAATTTTCCATTTAAAAACAAAAGGCTGCTTTATGATAAGCAGAGACGTCCGTACTTTTAAATAAAAAGTTAATCCTGAAACAAAATTCCTTTGTGCTAAGGATGAATAGTATTTTTCAGCCTGGACTTTTCTAATAAGCTGAGTTCTAATAAGCCATACTTTTACTCTGGGAAAAACCCAACCCAAACCAAAAAAACCCTCCAATAAATCCAAATAAACAACCAACCAACCAACCAACCATACCTACTCTACTCTCACCAGTTTCAAGTAAATGAAATTAAATGAGTCCATAGGTTAGAAGTTTCCCTGCTGAATTAAGAAATTGGTGTCTCCTGTAGAGGATTGGTATTCTGGAAAGTTAAAGAAGGAAAATATAGAATATAATAATACAGGAAAGTCTGCTGTTGTGCTTAGGCAATAAAAATTCTGGTATGTGTGATTTAAAAAATGAGATGAAAAGCACAAGAAAACAAATATACGATGAAACATTTGTCCTTGACTTTCTTGAAATTGTACTTTTAATAGATAAATTTTTTCTGTTATACTGAGTAACAAATGTAATGATAAGTATTTTTGGTATATAATTTAATGTTGCTGTCAAAAAATGAATCATTATTATGTTTAGAATTAATATATACGCTCCTGGGAACATCCCAAATAATAATTTAAGTCTTTACTTGCATATATTCTTCCCAGGTGTAATCTTTTCTATTTTGTACTCTGACTTTTTTGTCATTGATTGGTTTTCCCCTTTTTTTTTTTTTTTTTTTTTTTTGCCACTGCTACCTCTATTTCTGCAGGAACAAGTAGGTTACGGGTAAGTATTTCAACTAAATCAGACTTTACAAAGTTTTGCCTTAGTGAGGACTTCTTTTTTTTGCCCTCACTTACTTTGGTAAAAACTTTGTAGACAGCAGACCAATTGTCTGTAAATGCTGTGCTTTCTCAGGTCTCCATTATCGTCTTGTTTGTGTAGTAGAGTAGTAGTTCTCAGATTCTCCAAGAGACTTTGTCTTCTGCATGCTTTCAAGCAGCATCATTATCTGTGCTGTCTTCTAAGATGCTGCCTTCTCCTGGGGCTTGCTCCTTTGTTCCTGTCTGCTGCGTTTCAAGTGCAGTGTTTACTTTGTCTCTCCCATTTCTTTTTTTTCATAAGACCTCGTATGCGTTTTGGCCGGTTTGCTCAGAAGACTTCTCTGCGTCCAACAAGATGCTCTGTTTCACATGTTCAGCTTAGTCATCCTTGTCAATCATTATTCAGTCATTTTCACGTTCATACCTCTTCCCTTTTAGCTATCATTAAATATATTCTCAGCATGGTGTAGCCACCCTCTCCTCTCTTATCATGCTATCGTGTAATTTTGATCAGATTTGTTGCGATGTACAGCACAGGTTTTCAAGATATTTACGTCTTTGCATTTTGAAAAAGTAGGACTTGTTTCTTCTGATCTTGGAGCAGCTCTTCCTGTATTCTCTTCTAAATGATGTGATTTCTAGTGGAAGCTTTTTCCTTAAGCCTAGTATGTTTTTGAAAGTAGTGACTTTATTGACAGTGTGAAGTAGGATAGGGGAGTGTAGACAGACTGGTTCCTTGCACTTAAAAATTTGTAGTTGTCTTGCCAAATTACTCAGTTACTCAAGAAGTGCCGCCTTCTGGCAATAGAACACAGCTGTCTTGCGTGTCTTCCTCAACTTGCATTGTGAAATGATGAGTGGAAAGACCATTTTCAGGTGTTTGAGGAAAATGTTGCTCTGGGCGATGAGAGAAAATTGAGGGAGTAGCAAAATTAAGGAAGAAAGAAAAAAAACAAGTGTGTAGGTTCAGGAGAGAGGGGAATGAGAGAGAATTCTTCCTCCTTGAATTGTGATGGGTGAGTTAAGAGGAAAAAAGCAATGGGAGTATGGGATATCTCTGAAGTAAGAGTTTCCAGGCATTTCATTTGCATAAAGTTTTCAGACCTCCAAGCTGGCCTGCAGTGTGTTGTCATCATCTGGTAATGCAAGAACTGAGCTTGTTTGACAGGTTGATCTTGTCTGCTGTGTGTAACTAAAATACTTTTGTGCCGCAAACTGTTGACTACGCTTTCTGGCTACTTGTTTTCTGAACAAGGTAGTCAGTTTGGCTCCAAAATGTATCACCCCTGGCTGAGCTGCATATTCAGACAACAGCTTAGGTCCAGAAGATTTCACTGAAGTGTCAAGAGCCCCCACTTGTGTACAGAAGCCTCTGAAATGGTGACAGGATTAGTTTCTTCCCATACTCTGTCGGTGTGGCTGGAAGGAGACCTTGCTCTTATCTCTGCTTGCAGAAGATCTGACAATGAACAGACATGAGAAAGAGGAAAAGCGTCTTTCCTTTGTTGCCCCTGAGTCATTTTGGAAGGGACTCATCACACCCACATAAAAGAGAGAGAGAGGAAGTATGTTCCCTTGAGTTCTCTCCCCTGCTCCCCTCCCTTGGGAAAGATGCAGTGGAAATGAATGGTATTCTTCTGGGGAAAGTCTTGTTGTTAAGTGGAGTCTTTGGTTGCTAGTTGAAAATATACTTCTCAAGAATAGCAAGCAAAAAGCTTTAAATTATCTGGTTTTAGGGTGTGGGTGGAGCCTTTTTGCGTGAAAACCGATGCTTGCTCTTGCCTTCAAATCTGCCAAATGCAACACCCAGCATAGGCTTATATTCACACTTGTCTGTCTTCAGCTGCTTCTGGTCCATTGAGAAACCTCTCGTGTGGATCTGTGATGGGAGGGGTGTGACTGTCTGAAATGCAGGTAATAAAGTAGAGTGAATTAACAGCTTACAAGTCACTTTAACAACCGTTCTTGTTTGACTGCTTGTCGGTTTGAAAGTGCAGAGACTCTAGGACTGTATGAAGGAGACTTGAGCAATCTCTCGTTTAGCTTGGCTACAGATCCCTGTGGGTGATGGGATGGGGGGCAACACTCACAAACACAGGTGGTGCTAAGAAGGTTTTTCTTCCTTCCATTGGGTGCTTGCATCAGTCTAAAATGTCACTCTTAAAAAGTTATTCCTCTAATAACAACTCTCCTTATTTCTGTATTAAGAGTTGAAATCAGTCTTTCCACAGGTCTTTGCCACCTATAATTTCATCTCCTGTTTTGCAGGATATTTTAGAATGGGCCTTTTTTTCCTCTCTTTTAATGGATTTATTTATTCAGTTTCTAAAAATGTGCAGCTCTCAATTATAATTATCATCATATGTTACTTTTAAACTGATATTAGACATTCAAAATTAGGCAGTTGATAAAGGCTTTATTTATGAATTAAAAAATGTGTCTTGTTCAATTTCTCTTCTTCATTCTATACTGCATTATTTTTAAGTGATTGTTACTGAAGATCTCACTTTCCCAATTATGAAGTGATCTGAAGGAGTTAAATAATATGATTCTGTCATTCATAACTTTTAGCTTAGGACATGAAGTATTATCCAAACATATCTTCTCTAATTATTCTGTGAGCTCCTTAACTAAAATAGTTCAAGTTTGTTTTTATTTCCCACTTTATATATCCCCCCTTTCCCACTGAATGCTGTGGGAGTTTTAAGTTGGAAAATACAAGAGAAAATACTTTGTTTCCCTCATGGAATTCACAAGTTTGTTTACTTCGGTTTTATGGTGTGAAAGTGGGGAAGAAAACCCCACTAGATCATGAGCCCCAAATCAGTAAGTGCTGAGAAGATACTATTTGTGCTTATCCTGATTCAGTTCTCTATAAAAATCCAGAGCTTGGAACATTTGTATTCTGTTCCTCATTTCTAATGTATTTCCTATTCTTTCCCAAATTGAGGGGAGTATTTCTTTATTTCTTTTCATCTCCAGAAGTCTTTCCAGATGGTGTGGTGTTCTCATGGCTTAGACAATTGACAACATAAGGAAGGATGGAAGCTAGAGAACCTGATGTATCTTTTCACCCAAGACATTTTCTTCCTTAGTAAAAAAACTTCTGTACATAAAATGGCAAACTTTTTTTGAGTGGCCACTTGTATTGGCAGCTACAGCAGCTAGAAATTCTCCAGTAGAAGGTTCTCTGGGAGTTGGTAATGCTCCTTTTTATTTTTCCTTTTAACTTAGATATTTTTAAAATATTAGTTCTTTGTTCTTGAATTTACTGTGAAATAATTTTCATATTCTCTTTGATGGTTAGGGTAAACTTGCTGGGTAAGATGTGAGCTGTGTTAAAGCAATATGCTTTCATGTGCAAAGCTTCATGGTTTTGAGCTTACAGAATTACTCATTCTCTCTTTCCACTTCAACTGTCTGACCAGAAGACAGAATTCTGTGCCTTATAACTTATAGACCATGCAGTCTTTACTGAACCTTTTTTTTTTTCTTCTTTAATTTTTACAAATTAGTTTGCAGAAGAAGGGAGTAACAGAATTTTGGCGTGAACAGGACTGTTACTTCACCAAGCATCTGAAGTACTTATTTTTCTACTGTTCTATGATCTCGCTTCATAGTCTTCTATACAATTGAATAGAAAAGGAAGAAGCAGAAGTAGAGGCATTATACTTTGACTTTTAAAAAATGTTTATGCTGTTTTGGTTTATATTCTTATTAGCCAACTTAGGGAACATGGTCTAGGTAAAAATGTAAGTGGATGCTGAAACAGCTGGGGAAAAAAGTCCTGCACCTTTTCTAGGAGAGCAATTCAAGTGAAGTACCACAGTGGCCTGCTTTGGGTCTGTTTTGAGTCAATTTTTTTTTTGGAGGCTGGGCACCTTTAAAATAGGAAATAAAATGCTAAACTTGTAAGATCTGAAAGCACTATGGAGGGGAAAATCGGAATTCCTATTTTTTTTTAACGTTTTAGAAGAGTATTCACAATTGATTAAAAAAGACAAACGAGAATTACTAAATGTAAGCAGAAATACAACACTAAAACCAGGACTTGGCTAGTACCAGTTCTGCTGAAGATTGTTGTGGGACATGAGAGAAATGAGCCAATCACCTGTTGATTTGTTTAAAATGTACCTACCTGCATACACACACATAAAGGAGATATCTCTATGTATAGATAGATCTCTATGTCTCTATCTAACACCAGGTGTAATGGAATGGTGTGATTGGTAACTTATTAATTTCTGCTTAGGACTTGTGAAGTCTTAGCCTGAGAGCTCTGCCCAGTTCCTGGCAATGCAATACGGTAAGGTTGGAGAGAGGCCAGAGGATAACAAGAGGAATAAAAGGTTTAGACACACCAGGGCCTGTGAGGAAAGGTTAGAGTAACTTACTTTTTTTTTTTTTTTTTCAGACTATGGGAAAAAGATGAAGGGCACACACTTTCTGGCATGAACACATGCTTTATTCTGAGCACAACTGCTGCCTGTTTTCCATGTCTATTGAACACATGAGAAGTAATGAACTTTTTTTTTTTTTTAATGTGTTGTGTTGTTTCCTTTTAGCATCACTATGCAGGCTTTATTTGTGTGACAGTAATTTTGCATACCACCCTCACACCATCATATTTACTGGTTGCTGTGCTTCCAGATTGTCTATCATGGCTCTTTATCTAAATACCAAAGAAGAAGTGTGAATATGTAAGTAACATTTGCCAGGCATCTTATTGTGATATACATCTTTAAAAAAGTGTGTGGATGCAAGGATTTATCTTTTCTTATAACTTCTTTAAATGCAAACCAAGGTAGATTTATCTGTCTTATTTGAAAACAAAAGGATACAAAGACTTAAAATACTAACATGTTGCATAATCATTTTAAAGGAGCAGCTGCTCTCATTATACTTTTAGGTTGGCTTTGATAGTGTTCCAGTTTATGTTTTCTGCTGAACGGTTGCTCTGATCAGGCTGATTCAGTTGTTTGTGTTGTTGCAGGTTTTATTTGTGCTGACTTCTTGCTACACCTCTTTAATATTGGCTGAAATAATCATCCATTCTTCTGTGCAAGTCTAATACCGCTTTGATGTGCTTCCCTCATATGCAATTCTGTGACACTCTGCACTGTATTGTCTGGAAGCTCTTAGCTCTTCTTTTTTTCCCCCACAAACTAGATATTCCAGAATAAGTGCCAGTATGATTTTGCAGAAATCTTATGGGTCCATGAGTTTTTTATTTGGATGCTTTGTGTTTGCTCCACTATGCACTGAACAGCAAGTTAAACAGTCTGATGTTTGCAAAGCATGGCAAAAACATATCACCCACAGGTTGAAATTTGTACTGATGAGGGAGTGGCCACCCGTTGACCTGCCCATGTGGATAGTTTCCAAGCCTGACAGAGAAGGAAATTATAGGTTTGGTAGATGAATGCGAGAGAAAATTGGATTTCTTGGCTAACTGGAGGTTCACTTGCAAAAGATGGTGGTGTCTCAAGAAAGTGATGCATTCAAGAGAGAATGAGAGACAGAATTGTCTCTCATGAGAGACCTCTGTTACAAGGCCTGATACTTAGGCAGGTTTAATTATTTCAAACTTTCCGTGCCACCTTGGGATTTTCTAGTAGCTGTACTGCAGCTTTCTGTTCTGTCTCCATTTCTTGTAACTGTACTTTTTTCCAGGATTTTTGGTTTTAAGTAATGTGTTACTTTCAATATTGTAGTCAGGGTTGTGAAACTAGATGATGGGAGCCTGTAAGAATTTGGTTCCCTGCCTGTTAAGGATGCAGTTGGAAAAGCCAGCTAGAGGTGTGTGTTTGCTCAGTTTTGGTGCTCGATTCTTTCCTGCTGTACTTCTGTGTGTAGCGAGAGGCAGTTCTTCGGCTGACTGAGGTGGTATCACTGGCAGCGTGTTCTCTACTGGGGTAGAGGGAAGGACAGCTTTGCAGTGATATAGACAGTGACAATGCTAATACAAAGGTGATAGTTTATCATCTTGGGTAAGGATAAGGGATGCTGTGAAACCAACACCTTCGTAAGAGATGGATATTTGCCTAGAACTGTGCCCTGTCTCTTGTGCTCTCCTTGTAAATAGAGTGAGCAAGTAGTTAAGTGTCACAGTTTTTAGAAGACACTTCACGTGATAGTACCTCATCTGATAACTACTTCCTCTTTGTTTCCCAAATGTCTGTGAATGCATTGTTTATCTACAAAACTAGTAAAACAAGTCATGTAGGAGCAAGTTATTTCTGACCTGTTGTTGATTGTTAAAGTCATGTGAAACTTTCTTTAAGTTATTGGACTTGTTCCCTGAGACTGATGGTAAAAACAAACATAGGCTATAAATGTTGTTAGCCTGCTGGGCAGGAGTACAATAGAATCTTTGTTCTTACAAAGTACTTAATTGTAAACTGGGTCATGAAACTATTGCCTTCTGATTTGAGAAAAGGTGGGAAAATACCAGCTTTTTTTTTTTTGTAAGGACCCTTAACTGGCTTGTGGACAGTGTTGATTGCTCACTTATTTATATTTTTCAAATACAGTTTAAAATAAAGTAAATATTGTGTCTGCAGTCAAAATAATCTGTTCTTTGGGCTTAGTAAGCAAGTTGGAAATATTTATTTCTTTGACACAAAACATACACTATGCATCTTTTGGGAAAGATTGCTAAATCCAGGAGCCAGTTATTGCAGCAGAACATTGTGAAGGAATGAAAAATTGGATTTCACTTGTATTTCAAAAATGTTTCAGCAAGTGTTGTGAGCCCAAGGCTCTTTTTCTGCTATTATGCTAGTCTTTGCCATGCAGCTGATTCTGGAAAAATATGTTTTCCACAAATATACCTTTACCCTTGTCAGCTAAGTTGCTCCCTAAGGCTTAGTTAAGTATGATGTCCCCTACTCTTTGAGTTCTTCAGCCCCACATGCTGAGTAGAGCTACAGCAGTCAGGTATCCCAGACTTGCTGTGTCAGGAGGATATTTGTGGTTGTTTAACCATTACCTTCAGATTCCCCTTGACACAGGACAAGCCACAAGATAATGTATTGATAAAATACTTGCTATATTGCTAGAATGCAGGATGTATGTTCTTTATTAATAACGCTGTTAACTTCAGCAGTGGTTCTAAGGACCTGTTGGTGGTTGTCCTTGCCCCCTGTCACTCCCAATTACATGTGGTGATGACCCTGGGAATAAACTAGAAGAGTTCTGTCCAGAAAGCAGAGGGAACCTGTTAATGACTGTCTCCATGCTTAACTAGCCATGAACATAAATGTTAACTTGCTGTAATGCAAATACTCCCTTCTGTCACAGCAGGACTCTTGTCTGCAGCATATAAGGAAGTTACCAGCTTTTTCACATCAAACTGTGTCGTCAGTTATAAATGAGAATAATGCATGTGTCTTAGGTCTAGTCAAAACCTGGTAATCAGCTGCATTAGGCTGATAAAGATGGAGAGAAAATTTACCCTTGGTCATTTTTTGAAGAAACGCGTAACGAAACAGTAATGGGTTGGTTTGGGTGTTCGGGGGACTGAGATACTAATTTCGATTTTAGTCATGTTGAGATGCATCCTGAGGGAAGGAGGCTACACAGTAGCTGAAAGGTCACTGATAAAGCTTTCTACAAGTAAATTAATCCTTTCAAATTGTTTTGGGTTTTTTTTTTCCTTCCCAAAAGATGTGTGTGGCCGTTGTATGCTTATTAACCTGTTTGTAACTATTGTTTGTAAAGATGGATTGGGGGAGGAGGATTAAAAATAAGGAGAGAAGAGCAGTATTTAAACTGAAGTGTAATATTGACAAAAAGAAGAAATAGATATGAATAGCTTATGACTAAAATGGGAAGAATCAGAATTGTACTTTACTTCAGGAAGTGGTTTCCAGTACACGTTCAGCTGCTGCCCTGAGTTTCTTATGGTTATTACCAACTGTCCTCTTTGACTTGCTTCCTATTAGCTTCCCTAAAGAAATAAATCATTGTCTTGATAAAGGAAGTGCAGTACTTCTATACAGCACTAATCCTTCAGATTAGTTGCTGCATAATAATTAACAGTAAAGATGAAAATTCTCAGGCATCAGTAACTTGAAAGTGCATCATCAAGTTTCTTGTCATGCTTGGCTAACTCGGTTCACTGTGGACTCCCAAGGTTAAAAGTACAAAAGTAAGAGGCAATAAACTAAAACATGTGGGAGCAGGCCCAGATGGGCACGTTGGTGGAAGGTGCAATGGCCTTTTTATACAGGCCTGCATCATTACTTTTCAGCAGCATGAGAGAAAAAGTTGTGCCTGTGCACTGTGAGTGGACATAGGTTAGATATTTTTGCCGAATGTTGTCCTATTGGACAACCTACCTGTAGGTATGCTCCTTAACAACTGTTGTGCATCAAGAACCCTGTCGGTGACTTTTTGTCTCACACTTGTGTGTTAATTATTCAGCTCATCAAAATCAATTGAGCTTTTCTCAGACTTTTCTGTGGACTGTAAATCTTGTCCAGCTGATCTTGTCCTTTAACTGGAAGACTGCTGTCTTTGGCAATGACATAAATTAAGGTATTAAGCACTTTTGTCATAGACTATTATGCAGTTGCATCACAATCCAGATTGTCTTGGTTATTCTTTACCCCATGTTGCCTGAGGCTGTGACCTCAAAAGCTCAACAAGTCATGCTTGGCTAGGATGAGAGAGTCAAACAAATTCAGTGCTACAGGAAATATTAGTGATTCAGTAAGTGAGGCAACACCCCTGAGTTAATGTTTTCCCAATGCCCCAGACTGGTAAAAGATGCTGCTGCTTGTATGATGAAATGTAAAACTGAGATCCCTGGTTAAAGTTTCAGTGCAATTCCTGGTAAAAATAGACATGTTAATTCCGAGTTCTTACCCAAGTTCAAATTTTCGTGGCTGTGTCCTCTACACATTTTTAATGTCTGTTTTACTAGAGTCATATTATCCTCTTGCTTCTGTCCTAAACTGTTCTTAGAGTTGTTGGGAAAGTTTGCATTCCAGAGGTGCTGACATATTTGCAATTGGCAAGAGAACGATTTCCAGAAAAAATGGTCCATTTTGAGATCTTTTGAAATCAAGGGAGTTGTATTCGTGTAAGAAATGTCAGGCCAAAACTGAAAAGCTTCCAGGATTTTTTTTTTCTTTCTTTTAATGTGTGCAGAATAACTTTTTGGCTTGAATATACATACTTGCTACACGGTTGAGTGTACTCACACTTATTTATTTTTATTTTCCATAGGATTCAAGTGCCCTGTATGTTCCAAATTTGTATCTTCTGACGAAATGGATTTACATCTTGTGATGTGTTTGACAAAACCAAGGATAACCTACAATGGTAAGAAAGAAGTAAGCTGATAATTATTTATACATTTTAAACATTAGTGTGATAATAATTCTTTGCATAATAAGATACTCTGGTAACTAGTTAGGGAAGTCAGAAATTATGTATGTTTTTTGCTTGTAGTTTTTTCAAATTAATTCTTAAGAATTCGGTCTTTTTATGCTGCATGCCAATATAATTTGCACTGTGTTCTGAAAATATAAAATTATTCTCATTTGAGTGTGTTTGTTCCATTTTTTCACCATTGGTCAGCGTGCATTTAGAGTCCACTTGAGATATGTGTTGCTTACATGCCCTGTCATGTAATGACCTTAAGTAGTGAGGTGAGTCAGTCAAGTCTCCTGGGTATCATTAAGAACTGTTACTTGACACGCTGTGCATTTGCACATGATTCAAGAAAATGACGCTTTCTTGAAGGAACAAAGTTATTTCCTGCTTCTTCAGCTGATTGCATATGTGATACTTCATAAGGACTGGTAGATATCTATGTTTTTGTTATTTGGACCAAACTGGCCAATATCAAATGAATCACCTGTAGTAGGTGTTTTTCATCTACTGCTAAGCTCTCCTTCTAGGCAACTTTTGATGCAAGGCAAACAGGACTTCTGCCACTGAGATCAAACCTTTCTGTCACTGTGGCTTAGGCTGACACTCAGGTTTATGGTGAGCACACGAAAAGGCTTCAGGAAATTAGGAATTTGAAAATTTTACTGAAATCTTAGTTCCTGCTTTGACAGAGCTGCCCTACCACCAGAAAATCTTGCAGTGTAATCAGATTATTGCTCGCCAGTCATCAGATGTGAGAACAGAATGCAATTAAAAAGGAATTGTGGAAGAGAGAGAGCTGGAGGGTTTTTTGGAGGTGCTGGTGCTCGCAAGTTATATCAGGGAAAAATCTGATTCAATATAAAATAGAAATGTCACATAATGAGGGTGGTCAAACGTAGTAGCAGACTCCCAAAGAGGCTGTGCAACCTCCATCCTTGCAGATGATCAGAAATTGACTGAACAAGACCCTAAGCAATTTAGTCTAACTTGGTCGTGCTTTGTGTAAGGGGCTGGACCAGAAGACCTCTAAAGGTCACTTCCAACATAAGTTATTTATTGCATAAATAACCTGCAGTATTATGGCTCTTTGAGCCTCCAGGCACCTTGCTGTTACGGTACTCTATACTGGACTTTTTTATTGGAACAGGTCTTGAAGAATGGTTGGGTCCACCTTATTCTTTATCCAGGCACTACTAATGCTGGCCCATAATTGCAACAATAATTTGAAATCATATGCTTAGAGTTGTGAAATCCATTTCACAGCACAGAACTTAGGAAAAGTAAATATTTCTTTTTTCCTCCTGATGTTACCACATGTGTATTTAAGAAGGTTGACTTCATCTAACAGAGAGGGCTTTTTTCCTCTTTGTTTTTTCTTTTTAAATTTAGGACTGAGCGTTATTCAGGATAAGTTGTGTACTGGGGGATGTTGGATGTTGGAGAGAAGAGAAGCAGGCTAGTCACCAGAGTCAAGGCAGGATAATGCACTTGGAATCAGTTAGGGTGGAGCAGGAGGAGGCAGACTGGCAGAGAACAAGCACTGGCAGTTATCCAGCTGATGAGATGTGCACAAATTATGAGTTCAGTGACTGAAATCTTTTACCCCTTGCTGCTTCCTACATGTACATATGAGTGCACTCAGCTGACTGACGTTTGGTGAAAGATACAGCAATTACATAAGGTACCCTCTTAGTACCGTTTGTGATGTTTGTTTGTATCACAGCAGTGCTGTGTTCAGACTCTTTTTGTTACCTACCTCCACTGTTTCAGCTGGCATACTGTTGGTTGGAGCTCCTTTGGGCCATCTTGTTAACTTTGTGCAGTTATTAACCAGCAATGTGTCATTTCTCGCTTTAGGAGTGTGTTTGCTGTACGGTGAGCCTCAGAAACTCATTCTAGGAAATGGTTATATAAACTTGAAAGAAGGAAACTGCTAAATTAGGTAGGTAGGTTTGAGAGAGACACTTACTTAGAAATACAGTCTCATTCTCATAAACACTTAATAGAAGTGTGCATTGGTCCTTGTGACTCCAGTTAGTTAGCTCCTGGACTCGTGGACTAAACCTTAAATTCTAGCCTATAGCTGACTATTCGGATTACTGCAGCACAAAGAAAAAGAGGATATGGCTTCAGAGTTATGCAGTGGCCCAGTTGCTACTTCGTGGTATGGTTGTGGTCCCTTTAATGAGGCTAGTGAAAGCAAATTAACTAGCAGATTGGTAACTTAATGCTGCCATGATTTCAGGACCAGAAACTGCATGCATGCTTTTTCTTCTTGTCTATTTTGCTGTTTGCCATGGTGAGATTAGTGATGAATCTGCCTGTTTGTCATAGACCATAAGAAGGGCAAATGAGATGCCTTTCTCTTGTTTGAGAGAAGAAAGATGCTGCTCAGCTTTTGATACCTTCTTCCAAAATGGAAGGCATTTTTTTATGCTTTCCTTTCTCATTGTTATCTTGGCCTTGTGCCATACATACTCAAACAGAACCAATTAGGCACCTTTTGATAGTGTTGGTCACTGATCATTCCCAGTCCTATTACCACTAGCAGGAAAAACACCTTTTTTTTCTTTCCTTTTTTCCACCTCACCTTCTTTTGTCTCTGAGTTTTGTGTTGCATGGGGAAGGGAGCCTTAGACTTTGCAGGTGCTGAGATACTTAGAAATTGAGCAGTTGGATCGAACTGTACTTTTGTCTAGTTCTGTTCTATATGTGTTTCCTTATGACACTGTAAATGTATTAGCTGTTCTTTCTAAGAAGCATCAAGGAGCAAATTCTATGCATTTTGTCATTCTGAGAAGACCTTCCTTCTTGTTAAATATGAGTCTGAGGCATATAGTCTCCCTCAGAAAAATAAGACTTTTTAGTTGTGATTTGAAGTTTAAAAAAATTAATGAGTCCTCCCAGCCAATCTCTAATTGCTTTCTGAGCTACCTTTGTGCACTGCACTTGGCAGTTGAAAGGGTCAGTGAACTGCAAACTCGGGCAGCTGTCTGATTTACATGTGTTTTCTGAAAGAGCATGGTCACAAAATTGTCCCAGTTCTATGCTGGAAGTTGCACTGATTTTCATATAAATAAGTCAGTACATTTTATTAGCCTTATTCTTTCAAAATCACGTGACTTGCCTGCAACAGAGATCTCATTGCTGACTCAATTTGGCATGTAAAAAGAGTTCTTTCTTTTTTCTGTGGAACTTTGTTCCACATCTCTTTAAACTACTTGTGGTGCTCACATATGAACCAATATCTAGGCATTTGGATACAAAAGCTGGTTAAATGAATGGTATTGTGCAAAAAACATTGTAGTGTTTGGTGGTACTGTCTTAGAAAGTTTTCCTTTTCTTAACAGTTAGAAAATACTGTTACTTGCTGAGTTGCTGAGGAGCCAGAGTAGATCCCATGCACTGGTTAACCACTTTTATGAAGAAAGTGGGTTACTTGTTAATTGACAGGTTTTAAAAAAAAAAAAAAAACACTGCTAAAATATTCTGTAGCCATACCTATTTCTTTGAGCTTCTCCAAAGTGTTAAATGAGGCCCCTTGCACCACCTCGTTCAAATTCTCCATGGTGAGTTACTCAGGGAGCCCACTTCAGGACTGCTCTGCAGAAGGTGTTGCTTGCAGTGTAGCCCCGGGTTTTGGTCGAGCTGGGGCATTTGTGAGTTTACTCAGTGCTTTGGAAGCAACATGCCTTGGACTCCTTGCTGATTATTAGAGCAATCTAGTGAAGTTTAGGTTTTGAATATAATTGTGCATTTTGTGTTGTTACAGTATTGATTCTTTTTTCACTGGAAAGTGTTCTATAAAAATTGGGAAGACACAGGAGAGACTTGTGACTTCAGAGGCATCATTTTTAGATGCTTTGCAACAAATGCACCCAATTCCTTCTGAAGAAACCTTGCAGTTCGTTCTGAAATAATTCTGATTTTCATTTTAAAATTCCTTTGTTTGTTTCTCAGAACACTTTGTAAGACAGTATTATTTTTGTTATTATTGAAGGGCCCCTCTGAGAGCAGGGACTAGCAACCTGGCACCTGGCCAGATGGGGAAGCCAGTGACCCCGGGAGAGCTGGGGAGAGCCAGTCAGCTCACTAGACTGGTTGGCTGGCTTGGCGAGCCGGCCTGTCCTCTTTCAAAAGTTTTGATTGAATTAGCACATTCCTGTGGAATATTTTGGGTTTCATCAAGTCAGCACTTTTCTGTTGGAATGGTGTTCTACTGGAAACTTTCTAAGCCGATCTCCTCAAAGCCGCTCGCTCAGGGGTGGTGCTGCTTTGACATCAGTGTTCCTTTCACTCAGACCGCTCTGCATTTAATTCCCATATGGCAGTGGGTCTGTTGGCCAACATATTTACTGAGGTTCATTTTGAGGGGAAAAGCTTTTACTAGTGTAATTCAAAGAGGAAGAATGTTGAGACACCCAGTGAATGAACTGCTGGAGATTTTTTCCTTACTGGAAGTAAGGACTTTGTAATTTTTCTTTTTAAATTACAACAAGTGATTTTTTTTTTTTTAGACCTGTCACACTAAAAATGAGCAGGAGATCAGACATCACAGATAGCAGGGATTACAGATATAATTTTATTTTAGGAGTTTATCCAGTTTCTTTGAAATAGAGAATTAGTATGTGGAAAACTGTTACAGACAGAATATTGAAAATTAAGATAGGTGTACCAGAAGGAAAAACATGAGCAGAACTCTGGGTGCTCTTCCTTTCTGGCAATGTACTTTGTTTTCTGGGGTGTTTGATCTAACACTATGCACAACTAGCCAAGTATTCCTATGCCATCTAACTGAGTTCAAGTTGACTTGGGCCACACTGTGACTCATTCAGATTAGCAAGGATGCAAAGGGTTTTGTCATTATTTAAATACACTGTTCATTCTAAACCAGTTTGTGGTATAGGGTTGTGTCTTGTGAGGAAAGTATTTCTTGCTGGGACCTG